AGCAGGAATTCATACCTGTGCTACAGCCCAGCATACAGACTGCTGACAGGTACCAAGTGGAAAAACCCCGCTCATAGTGTGCTGTGTTTTGTCAACATGTTTTACTGCCCATGGTTTTCAGCAATTTGTTACTTAATTTTTATTTTCTCCATTTGTACCTACATTGCCTGGCAAACCATGTTGTTCTATAGTAGCATTTATTTTTATTTTTCCCATAAGTTGCCAGTATCCGTGTCCTTTCAATTCAATAATCACTGTTGAAGTTAAACAAAAATTTAGAAATCCTTCCTAAATTATATCAATGTTCAATCACATATTAGCAAGAGTATAACCCTTTCTTTTCAAGATACTGGTTACTGGATCCTTTTGTAGCTATTTCATTTGAGTTGTTTTGAATTCTGTTTTCTGTTTTCCAACTGTTACATGACACATCTTCCAAAGTGCTGCTGGCTTGGCCAGTAGCTGTATGTTGCATATTCTCCTTCAGGTTGTAACTGACTATAGCACTCTGCACAGCTGCCAACAATGATTAAGACAGTAAAGATGAAAAACAAGGTTTATCCCTTAACCTCTGAATATCCTGGAGTATTTTCCTGGAGTACAGTTTTGCTTCACTCAGACTAGCTCATTAATTGTCCAGCGGTCACCAGGCTAGTCTCCATCTTTTCTGTGTGCTACAGAGGTCTGTACTGTTGTGGCAGAGAAGTCTCTTATCTAATGCTGGACTTGCAGATTTAAGTGAAGATGGGGTGTTATTGTTGGTGAGGTTTATTCCCAGACTTTTCTCTTTCTTGTTTACAGCACCTCTGGATTGGCATAGATGCCCTCACCCTTAATTTTTTATTTCCATTCTGTCTTTCAGTGTGCTTGTTTGGTTTGGTCCAGCTCTTCCCTTCTTAGCCATGACTCAGGACTTAATGTATTAACATTATGCTTTTCTCTCTAGTTTAATTTATTCTGCACCTTTAGTAATGCTAGGGCTCTCATTTCAGGCCATACTTTTCTTCCCTTCCCAGGTAGGGCCTGCAGATAGATGTTACAAAGTCTTGGTCTTACTTACCCAGTCCTGGGATTAGCGCAAGTATAATGCTTTGACAGTACAAAATGTTTTAAGGACAAGATTTAGGTGTCAAGTACTACAGGCCAGCACAGGGACAAAGAACTAGTCATTAGAACGGACTTTAACAGGGCAATATCCCAAAAGTTTCCCTAGCCAGCACCACTTTAGCTTGCTCAGTAGCCGGACCTTGGTTCTGTTTGAAAACAAGTCCAGAACTTCTGCTAAGAATAAATGTGATCCCTGCTTGGTGTCTAGTGTCTACACAAGAGCTGGCTTCTACTGATGCAAACTCACAGCCGGGCTTGATTTGGGCTTTGTGTTGGCCTGTAAAGTGCTGACAGCACCTTTCCTTAGTCAAAGAATTATTGCCCACAGGATTATGTAGCTCCTTCCCACACTTTCCTTCTGGTACAAGATGCCCTCTGCTCTTATGATGGCAGCCATCTGTCCTCTTCCTCCAGAGAAAGGAGGTTCATCTTTTCACTCTTCTTTCAACCCCAACCATTTATATAAGTCATTACAAGGAGGAAGTGGCTTGGGCAGCAAAGGCAGAGACAAAAAAACCAAAAATCCTTTCCACAAGCAAGAACTCTCTACATGCTGGGTTAAGGAAACAGGTTTTCCTGTTATCCTGAACAGCAACTTTTTTTCCCCTCAACAGTCATATTCAAAGCAGTGAGAGCATAGTCTTCAATGGAACTTCTAACTGTCGAAAGACCTGCAAGCTACTAAACACAATAGTTTAGCACAGGCTATTTGACTCTCCTTATATAAACTTGGCTATGGACAGTAGATATACAGTAAGTGACATGCAGCACTTTTTAACTACTCTAGTGCAACAAATAACCATTTCTTGATTTTGTCTCTCTCTCTTCCCTTCGTGGCATAAGGCATCACACAGTTACCCGGGGTATAACTAAAGGAGTGAAAGAAGACTTCCGCCTGGCCATGGAGCGCCAGGTCTCGCGCTGTGGGGAAAATCTCATGGTGGTTTTGCATAGGTTCTGCATTAATGAGAAAATACTGCTGCTTCAGACTCTTGCTTGAATGGACTCCATTCCAAAATCTCTGATTTTGATGCAATGTCTCTTACGGAGAGGGGAAGGCTCTTATTTTTGTGAACAGCAGCATGGCACTGGAGAGAGTCAAAGTTCCCTGTGAGCTAGAGGTTCTGCAGTATGCAAACACGACTGCTTGGTGTTTGTTCACCACTTAGCTTTTCTTCTGTGAGTAGATCAAACTTTATAATTAAAACTTTGTTTAAGAAGTCTTTTGTAATGTTCCGTTTCTTTTGTTTGTTTTGGTTTTTTGTCGTTTTTTCTTTTTCCCATAGCCTTAAAACAAGGTGTGCATCTTAGTTTTTTCTATCTTTATACATAGACAGAGAAGACAGTAGGGTATTTCAGGCTTTTTATTAACAATAGTTTGGAAATCACAGCATGAGTGAATTTCTTGAGTTTCCAAAAACTTTATTGGTCTGCTATTTCTTCCTTTTAGATTGAATTTTGCCTATATTGCTGGTTTTCTGATTCAGGGCCCTTTTTAAATCCATTTATAAAGAGGATTGCTTTGATCAAACTTTGGTAATATCCAAGTGATTACACAAAGTTAATAGGAACCAGCCTTTCTGCACTCTTAGAGTGTAGCATGTGAAACTCAGACCTTATCCATGCTAGAGGCATGTGATGCAAGGCCTAGAACATGCACAAAGAGGCTGCTAAGCCTGTAGCAGCAGCATGCTGATTAATAAGCCAATAGAAGAGACGTTTGGCAGTAGGCTTCAGCAAGATCCTAAACCTAAGATTTTGATCCAAGACCAATATGGAAGAACACAAAGAAGAATCATCAGTTGAGTCACCACATTCCACAGCATGCGGTAGCGCAGAGGTAACTCTGAGCTTACCCAGATGGTCACTACATCACCAACCCAAAAGTAGGGCTGAGGATGCCAGTGCTCCAGAGTCAAAAAGGTGGCCAAGTGAAATCTGCCAGTAGCCAGGGTGGCACAGGCATGCAGCAGGTATAAAGGGTATATACAAACCTCAGATCACAGGAGTTACAGGGTGCCTTGTCAGATGCAACAACTGTGACCACAGTCCCATTTTGATAACCCCTTGCAGTCACCACCCAGATCCCTTTAAGTTCCTTTCATTAAGCACCATCAGGCTGTCTTTGACTGCTTAACTGTTGCAATATGTTCTATTTCTCTATATGAAGGAGGGAGATCAGTAAAATATTTACAAAATACAGAAAACAGAGCAACTGCAGCAGACTAGCAAGTTTTTGCAAAATAGGAAAATACTGTCCCTTAAGTCACATTAAAGTCTTGATAACAACTTCCATGGCACTGTAAACTTGAACTAGTATCCCTTTTTAGTTATACAGCCTATCACATGTGGCAATATTCCAGGCTAATGCACCTTATGCACTTGCCCCATCAGAATCTAGGCCTGCTACATCTTGACAATCTCCCATCAGATTTTCCAGAATATCTTTCTCCTGTAAAGTAAGTAGGATATTATGACCCAAAGAGTTGTCGCAGTGAGGTTTTGAGTCAGATGCTCTGCATGGGATTGACTGTCTTGCATCTTCCACTTAAATGGGAAATAGTTTTCAAATACTTTATGTCCTATGTAGACCAGGATCGAGTTCATTCCTGAAAGTAAGCACAGATCACACCACCTGAAAGAGCAGGTATGAGCTTATTCAGAGTAAGCAGGCAGAGGCATGCCAGGCTTATGAAACAGAGTGGCACTGAGACAACACCAGCTAAGCACAATAGCTATTGTTACTTGTCCCAAAGATGTCACATGTGTTTTCAAATACAGTCTGAGGGCTTCTCCCCCAAAACACTTATTGAAAAGAAATACATAGAATCTATATGCTAAATTGAATGTACAGCCAAGGAAGTGTCCTGCAGGTTTACTGACAAGGAGGATAATAACCCATTATTGTCTTGAGGGTGGCTGAGTGCCAACCTATTTGGTCAGATCTGTTGCCCTTATAAACATATGCTGACTGCCCTTTAGAGTTCTGGGATTTCTTGTAGGAGATACAATACTGTGCTGTCACCCTACCCGTCTTCCCATCCAGACACCAAAGCTGCTGAAAGGTTCCTTCTGCTGTGGGTTTGCATTTTGTACTCAGATGTTTGTCAAGAGTCCAGTGTGGTTAAAGCCACAGTGCAATGCTTTGGGAGACAGGCTTATCTAAAAAAACAGAGACAGAACCTACACAGCTGCCCAGGGGACTTAATCTTCTACATCTTCAGTAGTGGTATTACTCAGTTGACAGGCCTTTGAGTTTCCCAAGTCTCAGCAGTCCTAACTGAACCAGCTGTGGTATTTTGCTTGGTACTATGCAGCTGTTCCCTGGGACCTTAACTCAAGAGCAAACTGAAAATGGTCATTTGGCAATAGCAGCTTCCAGCCCTCATTTAAAAACTTGACAGTTTCTCTCTACTAAATATCTGGTTTCTAGTGTCCCAGTTCTACACAAAGGTTTATCTCAAGTTAATCATTCTGGCCTCCATAGGTTACCTCATTCTAAATCCCAGCCCTTCTAAAGATGAGGGAAGCACAGAAAACAAAAGGATAGTATAGGTGCAGAAAGAACTGAAAGGAATGTTTTCTGCTGTGATTTTACTGACCTGGGTAGAAAAATGGAGCACCCGACCACAATCTCTTGACATCCACAAGGTAATATATCAGCAATAAGAGGAAGAAAGCAAAGCAGCTCATGGTTGTCACATACGATACTGACCTGCACACATTTTCAGTAGAAAGACTGTTTAGAAAACTATGTGATACAGACAGATCTCAATATAAGAAAGGTAAAACACTCTTTAAGGTAAATGAGTACTTTAAGAAAATAATATTAAAAATAATCTCTCTTTACTTACCATAAGTTCTTGTTGATGGGAATAAACCCTTCTTCTTTAGAACATTTTGTCAAGATAGCAGAAATAATTCCCTGAAATAGAAAGTTGCTGAAGTTTATAAAATCACCCAACAAGTTTCAGGAATACTATTTGCTTTGCATAAAAATACATGTCTGTTAAAGAGCTACATAACTATCTGACTTACCATTACTATGCTCCATATGAAGAACCGACTCATGATTTGTTTGTGCTTATCTTTGTAAAACAAGATAATTTTTCCTGCCTAATGTAAAAAGAATACAAAAAAATCAATTCATGCCCATAGATGTAACTACACATCAAAAGCCAGATATATTTGCCACCAGCTTCCTGTGCTAAGACAGAGAACACAAATAGGATTTATATCAACTAAGTGGCTGAAAGGATCAGAATAGGAACTCTCTGCAAAGAATGGACACAGATGGGGAAAATATGTAAATAAAACCCCCTCAGCCATAGAGGTGCACCTTTTCTCCCTTACCTATGATGGTTAACACTGAGGAAGGGGACAATAAAATTTGTTAGGTTAACAGAACATGGCTGAGCTCCATCTCCCTCAGCAAGGATTGCATGAAGGAACAGCACCACGTTGACTCCCTGGCCAGCCCCAACAGCTTTTCCACAGTGCCACGTCACACCCCGGCCTGCTAGGAGTGCACGTTCCTTTTCATGCACCACTAAGAAATGTGTCCTGATACTCATTTCTCAGTGTCACACTTCAGTTGCAAGCTCTGCCCCGCAGAGATTCCCAATCAATTTTTATCGAGTACTACACGGAGTTCAGTTCAGTCAGCAGCTGCTGCACAGACAGAAAAGCCAACAATGACTAACTAGAACTGCATCAAAAATCATAATGGTATCCTATTTTGAACACAGAGGTGAGCTGTGACCTTTTCCTGTTGGTACCACCCCTGCCTCCTTGGTGTCTGGAAAGGTGAGCACAGCCGTAGCACCCATGCAGGAGACCGCTAACCCTGCATCGCGCATGGAAAATCAGCAACGTGGAACACGTACAACTGTGGTCTTCAAAACCATAGGCTTAAAATTAAGCTGCAGAGTCTATGCATCTCTAGCCCTATTTTCCAACATGAAAAGCCAGCCTACTCCCCCCAGCATAAGCCCAACCTTAAAACAAGCAAAGGAGGTTTCTGAGCTGGTGTTTTGCAAACTTCTTGTGTCCAACTGAGAAAAAGTCTTGGTTCATCTAATGCAAGCTACTGCTAGGTTCTACTCTGACACTCACCTCAGGCTAAGTCAGCCTGAAAGCATTGCTCTGGAAAAAGTTTTGTTAGAACCAGACTCATCCTTACAAAAAGAAGCCAAGTTGCCTCCCCACTTCCGTGATTCCTTCAAATCATCCCATTGTAGCACACAGCCAGAAAGAAGATAGGTACCTGCAGTCCCAAAAATGCCATAAATATGGTATTTATTGTCCCCAGGATTCCTTCAGGATCATATGGCATTGTTGTTTGGTAAATCACCTTAGAGAGAAAACATGTTGTTACAGGGCATCTGGGCAACCAATGTCCTTTCTTTTCCATCCCCCTGCACGTATCATTCCTGAGCCCCTCCTGACAGCTACGTTTGGTGCTTGACTGCAGCTTCATACTGCAAGCTAAAAGCTACTTACACTTGAAGAGGGATGCTGATATATATGGTTTTCTCCAAGAAGCAAACGATCAATGTAACCAGCTGCTCCTCCAGTGCAGTTGGGGTAGTTTCCGAAGTCTCCAATGCCCCCAGGACCAAGATAGCCCCTACAACACAAGCAAACAGGTTATGACACAAAGTGTTAGTACATTGCACCTGAACAGTAGATGGTCCACTGAGCCAGCACACTAAATGCTTGATGTTTTCCGTGGCCAGAGGCACAGTGAAACACAGGTCCTGCATAACAGCTGGCTGGTGGCCACACTGTTTTGATCACTGTAATGCTATGAGCAGCTGGGTCACGAGGGGACAAGGCAGTATTGGGAGCATAAAGCAATGCTTCAGTTCAGCCCCAGCTACCCAGCCAGCTGCTCCACCTGCTCTGCAGGTGCTGACCCTTTAAAAGGGCAAAGGTAGACAGGGGTGACATTGCGATAATCATATGTTGCTGTACACAGACCTCATGGAGATTTTAATCCTCTTCTTTAGATAGAAAGGAACAATGATGTCACTTTTATAACACTTTAGTACTTTAGTGCCAAAGAGAAGTTTTTTTCATGTGATGAGGGCCTCCCTTAACCCCACTGGTCTAAAAGCTCTCCATTTTTTCCCTATGGCTAATAAAGTGGTTTTTATACTCTGTAGAAGAAAAATAATCTGATACTCTATAGAAAGTAGTCTGAATGCACAGCCTTACCTGGGACAACCTGGCACTGGTAACAAAAAGGTCAGGCAGAACCATATCACTTCTAACACCACAATGAAAATCCACTGTGGCCAGTAGGGAAGAATATCCTGCAGAACGGGACATCGAGTCTCCTGCATGAGATGGTGGGGGGAGAGGCAGTATAAGTTGGCAAGTAAAAACCATGCCCTTGGGGACATCCTGTACTTCCTGGCAGGCAGTCCCACAGATACAAGAAGTAGCTGCTGTCGTTACAAAACTAGGTTCTAGCAATAGACCTTTTATCTTCACAAACGATTTCCAGACACTTAATTACTTGGGGGAGGGGGGGAAAAAAAGCACAACAACAACAAAAAAAGCCCACAATGTTTTTTAGCTTGGAAAATGTCAAAAGGAATTTTGATTCATGAGTAGAACAAAAGCCTTTTGGGAAAACAGACTCCAGAAAGGCCAAAAAGCAGTATTACATTCCCCTGCTGTGAAAAAACAGTGCCAAAATTAACTGGACAAAACAGGCCACAGGACTCGGCATAGAGATGCCTGTCCCTGGGGTCCTTGGTGGTGGAAAGTCATCAAAAGTGCCTGGGAATGCCTGCTTGTAAGCACCATCCGAATGGATCAGTGAAATCCTCAAATACAGCAAAACCAGATGTGATGAAATGCAGACTGGAACACTGAAGGCTGCATTTTCCCCAGAATTTTTCCAGGTCACGCTGCACTACACATCAGGTACAATACTATGTGTTTTCTCATCATTTCTCCTGTGTTCTTTGTGCCCAAGCAAGAGCAAAAGCTCCCAAACCTTACTCCAGTATCACATTTGTTCTCTCTACATAACTCACCAATGCCCCACTCTCAGCCCCAGCCCTTGTAAACAGGAGTTCAAGAGCAGCAACCACCAGGTATGTGAATCCCAGCCTCTGGAGTACACCAGGAATACGCAGATTATCCCAGGACACTGGAAAACACACAAGAACGTGGAAGAGGAGCAGACATGGGCTCTTCTGTAAATAAAAAAGCTGCCCTTCTCCAGGGAGAGCTGAGACCTACTGCACCTGCAGGTACAAGGGACATGTCCACTCTTCCACCCCACTTTCTGTAAATCATAACCCTGGGAAAGTCATGATAAGATGGTAAGATGATAAGATGAGAAACAGTGGTCAGCACAGAGATTAAACAGAGATAATTGTTTGTGTCAGTGCAGAATTCAACAGCACTCTACAGGATACCATCCAACTGCCCCTGTGCAACTGCTGAGTACAGCAAAGTTGACACTGTTTCTCAACAGCGCAGCCAAGAAGGCAGGAACAACCATTGCAGAAATACAAGGAAGACAGCAAGTTCCACTTACAAGGTCCAAGGCAGTAATTGGGATTCACAACTAAGATTCCCAGCAGGATTAGCAGAAAACTCCTCCAGAGGATTTTCCCAAAGACCTTTCGCTTGGAACTTCCCCACCTCAGCATGGAGCTCAGTGACAACGATATTGATGTCCCCATGATGAACACAAACCTGGAGAACAGAGCAGGTGGGAAATAGAGCTGACAGATGTCTCATCACACATGTGTGACAGCAAACGCTGAAGCTAACAGTAGCCTGCATTAGCCCAACAGAGAAATACATGCATTGAGTGAAACTGGACAACTTTATTAACTCCAGTTGCTAGAAGTTCAGAGACAATGAGCTTGCACTATGGGACCTTGCCACATCTTTCAGTGGTCAGCTGGGTTGATAAAGTTCAGGGAAGTAACTGCATTCTGGTCTTTTTGCAGAAATATATATGGCACCAAAAAATTCCATTACCCAAAATTAAATTAGTATATTCAGAGCAGTAAAACACAAGTTGCAAATCTATGACTCAAATTCAGAACTGACCCACTCCTCCCCTCTAGATTAGGTTAACAGTACAAGTCCAGCTCCCATCTCCAAGAGTAACCACAGCAGGTTTGTATTTTAAAGAAGTATGCTAGGAGCAGATGGGATAATTGCTTCCCCATGAAACCATCCTCTGGTTATAGAGAGATTAGCTTAATCCAGAATTCCCTTGGCTATTTTATCTCTGGATAGACATTAGTCCAGCTTTGAATCTTGCCAGATTTACCACCTTCAGCACAGCAGCATGGCAATGAGCTCCTCAAGAGATTCTGCACTCCCACTGGCAAGGTAACCCTAGGCTTCCCACTGACATTGTGTGGGGGAAGGAAAAAGGATATGGGCAGCCAAAGGTACCTGGCACTTCTACTGGTTCATAAGGATGATGCTGTTATCTGGAGGGTCAGATTCCTCACAATGATTAACCCAAATTCACCCTTCCAAACACATTTCCACATGGAGGCAAGGTGCAGACAACGTTCTCCTCACAACCCTTAACATAAAGCATTGCTTGACACAAGAGCTATTCTTCAGGAAGACTTACCATGGAAACACCAGATCTGCCACTGTTAATCCTACAGAGAAATATGAAGGAACACATTATTTACCTCAAACCCTGCCTAAATTTAACAACATTATTGCAATTATTTGATGCCCCAAAATCTAAACCATGTTATAAACAAAACTTAAGCAGAACTAACCATCTTGCTTCACTGCTTTTTCCATTCTTCAAAAATAGAGTCAGAACTGGTTGCTGTGTCTTAAGAAAGATTTCAGGGATGGGATCCTTGCTGTTCTCCACTAGGGCAGCCTGATGCCCAACCCCTTCCCCATCAGCTTGCCAATTAATACATTATCTTTGTACAGTATCAAGCCCCATCAGCTTGACACAGAGCAGTTAAAGATATGAGCCTGTGTCAGAAATGAAAAGGTTGCACACAGATTGTGATCTGAAATGATCTTGCCACTCTGCTTTGTAGTCTGATGAGCAGGACTATACACTGCTTTGCCAAATAACCTAACAGGCCAGATACCCTGCCAAGAAAAACTGGCACAGCATCCTCCCAGCCTTCAGCTGAGCAACAACTTGCTGCAGCAGCTGTGGTGCTAACCATATCTAGATACTGCTGCAGTTAAAACCCAGACTAACTGTCTCAATTGTACTTTACCGTTCCAACTCTCATGTTTGAAGAACCAGTATTTTCCTCCTCCGTAGTTAACAAACACCATAATTATAAGAGAGAGCCTAAAAAGACAACAACAGAAATGACACAAAGTATCTCATGTCAATTAAATACATATACTTGAACACACAGTTAATCTATACCCCCATTAAAATATTTCTAACAGTGAGATCTGGTTTGGTTTTGTTTTAAAGCAAGGTTATGTACAAGGTTTCCAGCTTCACCAACAAGGAAACAGCATTTCCAAGATGATGGGTGGTGGTGAACCAAAGTAAGAACCTTCACATAGTGTTTTTGCATGGAACCTATGTTGTGCTTTTCTATTCTCTGCCACAATTTTCATGTGTCCTCAAACTAGATCTACTGCAAAGTGATTCAGAAAATCCATGGATTAAAAACTTGAGTATCTTCCAACTAAAACAGACCCCCCTTGAACGATCCATCTGCTATATATTTCCATATGCTGTCTAACCACCATTGGAAAAATCTCATTCCCCTTGGAAGAGCTGCTTTTGAACAAGGTCTTATGCTCACCCTCGGAATGTGTCCAGGGAACGCAGGCGCTGCCTAGAGGCTGTGCTCCACAGGCTTGGGGTGGGATCGTGGCTAAGGGAGTCTGTTGTGTGTGGGGACCCGAGCTCCTTTGAGAACAAACCAGAGACATAATGGGCGAGTCAGCAGCTGCCTCAGCTGCCTAGAGAACAGAGGTCAGCAAACTTTCATATACTGTGTTTGTCTTTGTTCTCCCCATCTTTCTCTTCCTTTTGTTTCCTCACTTGCTACTTCTAACCCCTTCATGGGTCCACCATATTGCAATAATACTTGCAGATGCTCCACATTCCACCTTTGACCAGGGTGGAAACAGCAATGCAGTGAAAAGAGCCTGTGTTTGAGACTCATGAGAGCTGGGTCCAGTCCAAATCAGCCACAGACTTGCTGTCTCTGAGAGCGCTGCTTCACAACAGAGCTGAGCAGATCCAGTTGCTGACTCAAACAGGATCCATCGCATTGGCACTTTTCTGACACCACAGAGAGACTGTTTAGAGAGCTTAACCGGCAGAAAATGAATCCTGTTAAATGCAGGAGTGGTTTCTTTCCAGTCAAATTCACTGCATCACTGATCAGCCCCAGTGAAGGGATAAGGAAGGAGACATCACTATAACACAGCTACTGAGATAAACAACTACAAGGATTACTGCAGAGCTCTACTCCTAAGTTTTTTGATTCTATACAGATTTGGGCCTTCTAGATGTAAAGCCCAGACTGTCATAATCTATCTGTATTCTAGTACAAAACACAGCTCATACAGAAGTGCCAGCTCTCGGACTGCCAGAGACCTCTTGACTTAAGCGTAGATCCTGCTAAAATTCCTACTGCACTGGAAGCAGACACAAAAGCTGGCATTTCTTCCCTTGTCTTACACTTTCTATGTCAGAAGGGGACAGTATTTTCACCTACATGTTTGCTTCAAGGGAATTAAAGAGAAAACAAACTTACGTTCAAGACTTGAAAGAGCTCTACTGGAAATCCACTAAACTTGCACAAAAGCCCAGTCTAGCACTCTCCATTGAGATAAAATTGCCTATCTGACATCAATACGAGATTTGCCAAAGGGAATAAACACAAAGGGAACATGATTAGTAATAAATAAGTCCCCAGATATCTGCATAGTGTCTGCTTTTCAGAGATTAAAACACTACAGAATGCAAATTAAAGATACTATGGTCACTCACAGAATTAATCATACGATCAGTGTCTCTGGGGTTCAGTGTCTTGCAAACCCAGTTTCTGACTGGATCAATTCTGGAAATGAGTAACAGTTTAAAACACAGAACAAAACAGTAAGTACTTTATAGCAAATTTTATAGCCAACTGTTTATCAAAGTTTGGATAGTCCCTATTTCTGTTTTCCCAGCTCACATAGGTCAATACAGAGATTCAGCCAGTACCTGGGGCCTCAGTTAAGTCCAGCTCTGTCATGACACTGCCACAAGCTCAGGTTTAGGGGCTTTATTCTCAAGTTGCTTACAAACAGGGATGACTCAGGGACACAGGATGGAAGGCTGCATATGCTACACATGCTGAGGGCCCACTGACCTGTACTGCCAATTGAGGGCTAGACCCAGGAACAAGTCAAGGGAGGGTGAGGCAGGGTGTGTTTAAATCTGTAACAGAGGTCAGCTGCTCTGCAGTAACTGCTCGACACACAAGCTAACCAGGCTGTGAGATATCTCTCAATGGCAATCATATCACTGAATTCTTTATCATATGGACAGCTATCAGAGTCCAGCCTGTTCAAGGCAACGTGGCAGGAATCAGATCCGTAGGCAGGGCTACAGTGGAACTCTGAGGTACCACCACATTATGACAAGTGTTTTGAAACCGGTGGCCCCGCTTCAAGTGTGAGGAGGTATTAAGACACTGTTCACTTACTTCATAAGAAGGCGCCCAACAATCAGGATAGCAAGAATCCCCATGTAAACCAGGAAAGCAAAGAGAATAGCTGCATGAAAGAGAGAGGAACACAACTTCATAAATGACCTAACAAAACAATTCAGCAGCCTGGGCTTGGCCAGGCACGACACAAATATGACAAACAGCCCAACTCACCAGTCATCACACCACTTTCTCCATGCACTACATATCCCCAGCCTGAGTCCCAGAGAGAAAAAAAACAAACCAACAACAAAACCCAAACCCAACCCAAAACCAAAGCAGGCTAGTTTCAAAGAGCAGCTCAAGGATGTCACATCTTGGCATAAGAAAAGGCAAAATAAAACTCCATTGAATCACAAGGCAAACCCGAGAAAAGAGTTGATGTCCTAGAAGAAACCAGAGATTTAGGGAAAAGCTTTGACATGAAGAAGACAGGGGAGAGGGTAATACACGAAGTTGGCAAGAATGAAGGATTTTTCTTTACAGGTGAAAAACTGGAAAGACTGAAGAATAACCTACTGCAAAGGAAAATAATGGAACAGATGTAGATGAGAGTTTGAAACAGCCCTGGAAAAGAGATGCACAAAAAAGGAAAACATGGGGTTTAAAATTAGAAGTGCAATAACAAAAGGCAAACACTGCATTAATTGTTCCCCTTTTTGTCTGAGAGGCAAGACAAGGGGGAGAATAGGGAGGATTCTGTGTACATACATGAACATGCAGGGAAACAGGAACTCACTACAAAAATACCTCCATCCAGACACATACCCACTTCTCTTTCTAGGCTAATCCCTGCTGCAAAGAGGTTGTAGTCATACAGTATATCATGCAAAGAGGCCTGATCCTGGTCAGGGCCTCAAGACGGGTGTATAAAACACAAGAAGGTAAGATGCTGAGAGAGGAGGAACCCCATGACATCTTTAGCACAGCATGAGTGGCTGCACAGGGTTATTAGGAAGTTGCTTCTGCTGGGACATGAAGTTGTAGAATGAAAGATGGAAACAGAGCATTTACATACGGAGGTAGCTGTTGATAGGGCCTTCATTGATGATTAGGTCACAAGAAACAGTTTTGGTGCTTGTACTTAGGGTCTTTACCACAAGGGAATAATTGCCAGACTCTCCAAAATGATACTGAATCCTGCAAAGGATAAAGGAAATTAAACTTGCTGAGCCATCACTACTAAGTGCAGGTACCAGAGCAGCATTTGGGGGGCTGTAAGCCCAAATGCTTGTAGGAAAGGCAAGCTGAAAACGTGACCTAATAGTGTGATCTAGCAAGGAGCTGCCTAGCTCTGCCTTTGGCCCTCCCCTAGCCAAACACAGGTGCTCTACCACAGATGCATTGCTCACTACATCAGCCGTCTTCTTGAACTACAGACTCTCTGCAAGAGAAAACAGGTACTTGCACATGCTGGCTCACCACGTACCATTTCAGGTCCTGCTTGCACCTAGATCCTTTCAGCACAACTACTGTGGACGCCACAGCTACAGCTGTGGGGGGAAGGCTGATCTCTAGGTCTAAACGCTCAGGGAAAAGGAGGTGATGAGCCGGCAACAGGCACTTCAAGGGAAAAAAAGAACCCACAAGACAGAAGAGAGCTATCCAGGCGTTCCCTGAGGCCGGGCAACCTACTTGCAGAGCTCTCCGTCAGCCCCGGGGCCGCTGAGCAGCAGGGTGAGCGGGCGCTGCGTATCGACCATCACTGCTGCCGTGCCCGGCTGTGTCTGGCTCCCGTTGCCGGGGGGGACGAACGCCAGGAACTGGTACAAGCACTGCGGAAGAAGAGGGTGGAAGGAGCTCGTTAGTGCCGAAGGAGACGGAAAGGGGGCCCTGCTTTGCAGAGCGGCAACCGAGAAGCCGAGGGAAGGCGCCCCGGGGCTGGCCCGGCTCTCGCTGCGGAGCGCCCGGCTCGGAGGCAAAACCGAAGCGAAGCAACCGGCAAAGCCCCGGGGAGAGAGAGGCCCCGCCGGGCGGCGGGCAGGGCTGCCGGACGCGGGGTGACACGCAGCGGGCACAGCCCCCCGCTCACCCGGTGGCAGGAGCCGGAGAGGCCGGCGAGGCGCAGGCCCCGCGCGGGCAGCTC